ATATTGCCCTGTCACTCACAGGGCTTTCCCTACTGCAGTTTGTTTCTATTGCCCTGCCACTCATAGGGCTTCCCTACTGCAGTTTGTTTCTATTGCCCTGCCACTCAGAGGGCTTTCCCTACTGCAGTTTGTTTCTATTGCCCTGCCACTCATCATAGGGCTTGCCCTACTGCAGTTTGTTTCTATTGCCCTGCCACTCATCATAGGGCTTTCCCTACTGCAGTTTGTTTCTAATGCCCTGCCACTCATAGGGCTTTCCCTACTGCAGTTTGTTTCTATTGCCCTGCCACTCATCATAGGGCTTTCCCTACTGCAGTTTGTTTCTATTGCCCTGCCACTCATCATAGGGCTTTCCATACTGCAGTTTGTTTCTATTGCCCTGCCACTCATCATAGGGCTTGCCCTACTGCAGTTTGTTTCTATTGCCCTGCCACTCATCATAGGGCTTTCCCTACTGCAGTTTGTTTCTATTATCCTGCCACTCATAGGGCTTTCCCTACTGCAGTTTGTTTCTATTGCCCTGCCACTCATCATAGGGCTTGCCCTACTGCAGTTTGTTTCTATTGCCCTGCCACTCATCATAGGGCTTTCCCTACTGCAGTTTGTTTCTAATGCCCTGCCACTCATAGGGCTTTCCCTACTGCAGTTTGTTTCTATTGCCCTGCCACTCATCATAGGGCTTTCCCTACTGCAGTTTGTTTCTATTGCCCTGCCACTCATAGGGCTTTCTCTAATGCAGTTTGTTTATATTGCCCTGTCACTCACAGGGCTTTCCCTACTGCAGTTTGTTTCTATTGCCCTGCCACTCATAGGGCTTTCCCTACTGCAGTTTGTTTCTATTGCCCTGCCACTCATAGGGCTTCCCTACTGCAGTTTGTTTCTATTGCCCTGCCACTCATAGGGCTTTCCCTACTGCAGTTTGTTTCTATTGCCCTGCCACTCATAGGGCTTTCCCTACTACAGTTTGTTTCTATTGCCCTGCAACTCATAGGGCTTTCCCTACTGCAGTTTGTTTATATTGCCCTGCCACTCATAGGGCTTCCCCTACTGCAGTTTGTTTCTATTGCCCTGCCCCTCATAGGGCTTTCCCTACTGCAGTTTGCTTCTACTATTGCCCTGCCACTCATAGGGCTTTCCCTACTGCAGTATGTTTATATTGCCCTGCCACTCATAGGGCTTTCCCTACTACAGTTTGTTTCTATTGCCCTGCCACTCATAGGGCTTTCCCTACTGCAGTTTGTTTCTATTGCCCTGCCACTCATAGGGCTTTCCCTACTGCAGTTTGTTTATATTGCCCTGTCACTCATAGGGCTTTCCCTACTGCAGTTTGTTTCTATTGCCCTGCCACTCATAGGGCTTTCCCTACTGCAGTTTGTTTCTATTGCCCTGCCACTCATAGGGCTTTCCCTACTGGAGTTTGTTTCTATTGCCCTGCCACTCATAGGGCTTTCCCTACTGCAGTTTGTTTCTATTGCCCTGCCACTCATAGGGCTTTCCCTACTGCAGTTTGTTTCTAATGCCCTGCCACTCATAGGGCTTTCCCTACTGCAGTTTGTTTCTATTGCCCTGCCACTCATCATAGGGCTTTCCCTACTGCAGTTTGTTTCTATTGCCCTGCCACTCATCATAGGGCTTTCCATACTGCAGTTTGTTTATATTGCCCTGCCACTCATCATAGGGCTTGCCCTACTGCAGTTTGTTTCTATTGCCCTGCCACTCATCATAGGGCTTCCCCTACTGCAGTTTGTTTCTATTATCCTGCCACTCATAGGGCTTTCCCTACTGCAGTTTGTTTCTATTGCCCTGCCACTCATAGGGCTTTCCCTACTGCAGTTTGTTTCTATTGCCCTGCCACTCATCATAGGGCTTTCCCTACTGCAGTTTGTTTCTATTGCCCTGCCACTCATAGGGCTTTCTCTACTGCAGTTTGTTTATATTGCCCTGTCACTCACAGGGCTTTCCCTACTGCAGTTTGTTTCTATTGCCCTGCCACTCATAGGGCTTTCCCTACTGCAGTTTGTTTCTATTGCCCTGCCACTCATCATAGGGCTTTCCCTACTGCAGTTTGTTTCTATTGCCCTGCCACTCATAGGGCTTTCTCTACTGCAGTTTGTTTATATTGCCCTGTCACTCACAGGGCTTTCCCTACTGCAGTTTGTTTCTATTGCCCTGCCACTCATAGGGCTTTCCCTACTGCAGTTTGTTTCTATTGCCCTGCCACTCATAGGGCTTCCCTACTGCAGTTTGTTTCTATTGCCCTGCAACTCATAGGTTTTTCCCTACTGCAGTTTGTTTCTATTGCCCTGCCACTCATAGGGCTTTCCCTACTACAGTTTGTTTCTATTGCCCTGCAACTCATAGGGCTTTCCCTACTGCAGTTTGTTTATATTGCCCTGCCACTCATAGGGCTTTCCCTACTGCAGTTTGTTTCTATTGCCCTGCCACTCATAGGGCTTTCCCTACTGCAGTTTGCTTCTATTGCCCTGCCACTAATAGGGCT